CCCCCCCAGCAGGGGGCGCTGGGGGGAGGGGCAGGCGCACTGGCTGGGGGAGGGGCTCAGCAGCCCCAGCCTCTCCCAGCAGGGGGCGCTGTGGGGAGGGGCAGGCGCACTGGCTGAGGGAGGGGCTCAGCAGCCCCAGCCTCTCCCAGCAGGGGGCGCTGTGGGGAGGGGCAGGCGCACTGGCTGAGGGAGGGGCTCAGCAGCCCCAGCCTCTCCCAGCAGGGGGCGCTGTGGGGAGGGGCAGGCGCACTGGCTGAGGGAGGGGCTCAGCAGCCCCAGCCTCTCCCAGCAGGGGGCACTGTGGGGAGGGCGGGGTGCTATGGGGACGGTGGGGCGCTGGCATGACAAAGCCTTGTTTCATTCTCCCCTCTGGACTGCCCGTGTCTCATGCTTCCAGCCTGGAATGCACCCGGCTTCCTGGATTTCTTCCTGGCCATTCCCTCATCCCAGGCACACGGATTTCCTGGCCCACCGAGGAGCTGGATGGGCTGTGTGTGTTATCTCCCCTGTCCAGCCCAGCTGGGCTTTGTTCCCAGCAAGGAGGCCTGGAGCGATAACCCGATGCTGTAGCCAGTGCGGTGTCCCACCCACGGGGCAGCCCCCAGCCAGAACGGTGTCCCCAAGTGACAGCCAGCCGTGGCCCTGCAGAGACCTGCCCTCTCATGGCGGGGGAGGACTGGGGGTCTGTAATGGGGGGTGGGCCGAAGAACTGGGGCCTGTGATGGGAGGGGCAGCTCTGGGCGAGAGGCAGTAAGTGCAGGGGCGGCTGCATGGCTGGTGGTGCGTATCCACCTGGGATTGGCTGCCACTCTCGTGTGCTGGGCTTGGGGTTGGGCTGACAGCCCCCAGCTGTGCCGCTCCTCTGGGAGCCCCCCTTTGGCTGGCCTGGCCCCTTGCTCAGCCTGACCCCATTACCTTCCCCGTCCCCTTCCCTCTCTTCACACTCAGAGCTCCCCCCCCAACTGCCGGGTCGGAGCCCCGCTCTCCAGGGACTTGCCAGCGCGGGGGGGTGGGGAGCTGTGATCGGCCACCCTTCGTTTCCTCCGCTGCTGGAGATCCACCTGAGCTGGGCCCAAGGCTCCAGCTGCTCCAGCGGCTCGCCTCCCTGTGGTTACACCCTGGCTGGGGGCCTCTCGCGGCGAGCTTGCCCTGCCCACCCCCCCCACCCCCTGCGGCTCAGAGGCCATGGCTGGCAACCCTCTGCCCAGCTGACTCAGACACCTGCTGTAGGGAGGGGGCAGGAGCACTGACTGTGGGGGGCTCTCAGCTACGCCAGCCCCAGCCTCTCCCAGCAGGGGGCGCTGTGGAAAGGGGCAGGAACACTGTCTGTGGGGGGCTCTCAGCTACGCCAGCCCCAGCCTCTCCCAGCAGGGGGCGCTGTGGAAAGGGGCAGGAACACTGTCTGTGGGGGGCTCTCAGCTACGCCAGCCCCAGCCTCTCCCAGCAGGGGGCGCTGTGGAAAGGGGCAGGAACACTGTCTGTGGGGGGCTCTCAGCTACGCCAGCCCCAGCCTCTCCCAGCAGGGGGCGCTGTGGAAAGGGGCAGGAACACTGTCTGTGGGGGGCTCTCAGCTACGCCAGCCCCAGCCTCTCCCAGCAGGGGGCGCTGTGGAAAGGGGCAGGAACACTGTCTGTGGGGGGCTCTCAGCTACGCCAGCCCCAGCCTCTCCCAGCAGGGGGCGCTGTGGAAAGGGGCAGGAACACTGTCTGTGGGGGGCTCTCAGCTACGCCAGCCCCAGCCTCTCCCAGCAGGGGGCGCTGTGGGGAGGGGCAGGATGCTGGCTGTGGGGGGGCTCCCAGTCCTGGCCTCTCCCAGCAGCAGTAGAGAGGGGGTGATGGCAGGGCGTGGCTGCGGCGAGGCTGCCTGGTCACAACTAAAGTGATGCTCTGTTATTTGGCCAGCTCCATTTGTGTCCCCCGGGAGTCACGCCTGGGGTGGTGGCTCTTGTGTGCCAGGCCTGCCGCCGTGCCACCGGCTCCTTACCAAGGGGGGTCGATTCTCACCCCAGCTGTCACTAGTTGTTCACTAGTTTGGACTCGTGCCCCCAGGAGGTGCTACCAGCGGAAGCTAAAGGCGGGAATTTCAACCACTGTAAGCCCCAGTGCGGAGAGGCGCTGGCTAAGCCAGGCAGGTGCTTCTGGGCTAAGCACTGCAGGACCATCGCGCCGTGTAGACAAGCCCTTGATTACGTTACGCCCTGTGTCTTGGCAGTGACTCAGGGGTGGCTGGAAAGCAGGGCCTAGCCAGAAACAAAGTCCAAGGTTCTTCCCCTTGCACCCTGTGAGCCCAGTGGAGGAAGGAAGGGGTGGTGCCCAGGCCAGCTGATTGTGCAAACATAAAACACCGCGTTAGATTGGAGGGGTGTGAGACTGGGGCTGGTACTTGACGGCCCAGGAGCTCCAAGGCCTCTGGTTGCTTGCCGCTAGATACAACACGGGCAGCAGCAGCGGGGTAGGTAGCCCTCCATGCCCCATATGCCTCAGCCCCACCCCACAGAGACCAGCTGCTATGCGTGAGGCAGGGGAGTCCAGCCCCACGGGGATGTCACCAGGGATCCTACCGGAGGCCAGCAATATATTCCCCTTGGGCCCACCCTCATTTTTGTGGGGAGCTGCTATTGTAGATGGGCCCAAACTACTGACAGCGCCCGGGCCCCGTTGGGTGCCCTGTCACTGCGTCCCAAAAGATCCCCCCCACCATCCCCATTTGCAGCAGCAATCAGAGGGGTAGGCAGTGGGCAACCCAGCTGAGAAGGAAGCTGTGGTGGACTCAGCCCTTGGTTTTGCTGCTGGGAGTGCTGGCAGGTTGGGTGGCAGAGGCAGTGGGTGTCACGTGGACACTGGCCCATTTGGAAACCGATGGGGACAACCCCCCCATCTAATTCATGGCCAAAACTCCAAGGTGAGCCTCTTGGTTTTCTTCAGCCTGGGCTGGGGTATGGAACTGGGGAGCGCGACGCGAGCATGTAGACTAGAGCCGTCCCCAGGACCATCCCAGGCCCAGTGCCGTACGTGACCAAGGGCGCTTTCTGGAGGCTTTAATCAATCAGGAATCCACGTGCATCGCTGCTGGCACCATACACCAGCCAGCTGCCGAAATCCAAAAAGCCCTTGGCGCCCCCGAGCACCGTTGGCTTCTGCTGTTCAAATAACCTCGGCCCTCTGCCTCTGAAGAGCCGGTTTTGATTCTGAGCTCGAGTGGCACTTGGGAAGGGCTCCAGAGCGCTGGCTGCCTGGAACGCGCCACCCGCTTGGCAGGGGGAGCCCTGCCCTGGCAGCCAGTGGCCAGGGCTCCGGGGCAGCAGGCTGGCGGGCACATTCCTGGGAAGGAAAATGGCCTTCCCGAGACAATGGGCATTGACTGGGGCCCTCATTGTTCTCCGGGCAGATGTTTATGTAGAGTCCATAAGGAAACAACGCTCAGAGGGATTCCCAGCCGTTGACATAACAACCGCTTTGTGATTGGATGGGAAAGCCCGTGCTCCCCTGTCAATCTTCATACCAGCTCCCGCCGGGAGAGGGCAAGGCAGCGGGCACGCCCGCCCCGTAGGCCGCAGCTCCCTGAGAAGTGGGCGCCAAACCCTGGAAGCTCTGCCGACTCGAGGCTAGGGCTGGTGTAGACGGGACCCCTCCACCACACAGCACCCCCCTGTGCCGCTCCTCCTCACTGCCCCTGCTGGCAGAGGCTGGGGCTGGCACAGCTGGGGAAGCCACCCCCCCCCCAACACCCCCCCCCGGCC